CTCTCTATATATATATATATATATATATATATATATATATCTTCTCAGGTGTATGGGGGGGTCCTCAGGTCCTCCAGCTTAACTGGGTCTAAACCCAAATTGTCTCCATACCCCCACTTTCTATTGCTAAGATAATGCCAGCACCCAGCAGTGGGGCAACATTTTTGCTGCAACCTTCTCCCTCCTTCCTCCCCTCAACATTTAAGAGCATGTTCCTGGCACTGCTCAAGCAAGTCAGTCCCCATCCTTGTCTGCTTTCGGCTTACAGCCTTGCCAGATAAGCAACCTGAATATCACTTGGCAGGTGACTAAGTGCTGCCATGGGGTCAAGGAAGCCCATCAGAGAAGAATCTGATCCTGGCTTTGGGTAGGGGACAACTCTATACCTCTCATAAAGCCAAGGCCTAAACAAGAAATAGGACAGAGCCTAGTGTGATGTGGGTTGGGGGATGTTGAGTTAGGATTACCGTAGTACTGGGAGAAGACTGGAGAATTTTGAGTAGAGAAGAGTGTAGGCAAAGGCCAAGGAGGGACAAAGAGATCTTGCAGCAATTGAGAAACTTGATTAAGTAAGCTAAGGCTGCGATTGAGAGGCAGGCTGAAGAACTGACAGCCAGGCACCTGAGTACCTGGGCCTTGCAGGCTAATTGGAAGGGGCTTAGCCTTTATCCCATGACTGCCTGGAGCCATTAGAATTCTTGAAGGCAGAGAAACCCTGGTGTGAGTTTCCAAACAATTACCTGGCTTGCCTCATCTCAACATTCAAATTATCTAGCTCCACCTTGGTGCACTACCACCTTTGTCATCCACTTCCTGATTCAGAGCATTGCACCAGCCTCCAGAAGGCCCCTCCATTTCACATTTTGGATGCTTCCATCCCCAAGCCAGCGGGGCAACCCTGACGGGCAAAAATGTTATATATGTAGAGAGAAAGATTCAATCTGATTACCTTACTTACCCCGTTCAACTTGTGATTTTCGATGTTATGATGATGCAAAAGCAATACCTTCTCAGTATAACCTGTACCTCAAATTTTGAATTCCACTCCATTCCTGGGCTAGCGATACACAGTGCAATACTCTCATGGTGTTCAGCAGGGGCAGCAGCCAACCTCCCCTGCCCCCCAGTCAGCCACATGACACGAGGGGAAACAACTGATTGTGTTGCTAAGCTAGGGTGTCCTAGAGGTTAGATGCAGTTGATGCATTTTTTACTTAAAATATTTTCAACTTACAATGGTTTTACCGGGATGTACTTCCACTGTCAAGTCTAGGAGCACCTCCCCATGACTTTCAGGATAAAGTTGGGCTTCCCATCAGGACAGACAGACAGACCTTGCCCTCTTTGGCCTCAGCTACATCTTTGGCCTGTTCACCTCAGATGTTCTCTCTACTAGGTCCAAAGCAGCATGTACCAGACACAGCACACCTCTGGGCAATGGCCTCTGCCTCTGTGTCCTCCTGCTCCAAGATTCTTTGCCTTCTGCAGTTTCTCCCTCATGCTTCCAGGTTTGACTCTACTGGCACCTGCATGCTACTTCCCAACCCAGTCTCTCCCCTCACCATATCAGGACAACTAGCATCCTATTCCTGGTACTCTCTGGAGCTTTTCTATCATGTTTATGTAACCCCCACCAGGGATAGAAATGCATGGCTTCATTCTGCCTCTGCCCGTTTTGCCCCTTGACAAGAGCTTGCCCACCTAGACTCCAAGAATTTGCCCCGAAGTATGAGTCTGGTTTACTCGATGTACTTCCTTGCAAGCTCCTGGGCAAACTCTGCTTGGATGGTAGCCTCTCCAGTCTGCAAATTCCAGCAGTCCGTGGACTTGTGAAGTCTTCCTGATCTGAGAGGTCCACTCAAGCCTGGTCCAACTTTCTCAGGCCTCTCTCCCACCACCCTCAGTAGTCTCTGAGCAGCAGCAGTATTGAATGCAATTTCCTAGCCTGTGACAGGGCTTTGTTATCCCAAGGGAAGAAAGAAGTGGTGGAGGGCTTTCCCTCCCTCATGGAGCAGGTCCACCCTCTGCAATGGCTACTTAACTCCATTTTGGCAAGAGGAGGTAGAGCAGCTGGACCTGTTTCTGGGGAGTCAGTGTTTTACAGGAAGGGAAAAGAAACCCACCTTCCCCTCACCCACCCAGAGCAGCTTTCCTTTCCCTGGCCAAGAAGCCTGCATAGTCTCAGGGGCTGGTCAGATCTGAGAGGCACAGAGGGTTTCACATGCATCCAGTAGAGTAGGGACAGTTCAGGGAGCTGATGCACCCACTCCTCCTCCCCACCATCTGAACTGCTGCGCTGTCTTCCTAGCTCAGCTTGGGGCTCTGAGATGTGTTCAAGAAGCAGGGTACTTCTGTATAGCCAGTTTGGAATAAGGAGGAGGGGGTAGATAGTTTGATATGGATTTTTGTGGTCAGAGGTGATTACAATCCCAGCTGTGTCACCCAGCCCCCTCTCCTCTTATCCATCAGCATTCCTCTTCCTTCAGAGATGGGCAGGGGAGAAGGCAGGGAAAGCAGAGGGACTCTACTGTCCTCTTAGGTCTTGGAGGTAACCTCCCCTATCCCTGTGCACCCGCAGGATCTGCCAAAATGACCAGCAGGCCCCAGGGCCTGAGAGGAGGCCAGACATTTGAGGCAAAGACTACCCTGGGTGACTTGGGAATGTCTTCAGGATCCATTCTTTCAAACTTTCTCCAGAGAGAAAGTTTCCAGTCTCGGATTCCCATTTGAATGACCAAAAAAATCCTAAATATGCCAATGCCTGAGCCTCAGGCCTAGAGGCTTTGTTCTAATTGATCAGCCTGTTGTAAAAGCACGTCAGTTGTTTCCCATGTGCACTTGGGGCTGAGCTGAGGGCCCTAGCTCCAGAGCAGCACTTCCTACTTTGGCATGATGAACATTTAAGACCCTATCTCTTCTGTGTACTGCCATCCTGTGCATTGTGATATGCTTAGCAACATCCTTGAACTCTACTCATTATGTCTCTAGCAGGCCCCTCCCATAATATGACAATCAAAAATGTCTTCAGACAATGCCAAATGTCCCTGTAGGACAAATTGTCCCTGATTGAGAACCACTACTTCAGTGTTTGCGATAGCTTTGAGGTGGGAAAGTACCTCTGAGAAAGGGGCAGAGTCCTTTCAAAGCAGCCCCATTGCCCTGCTTTCCTTCCTCAGCTCCTCCAAAAAGTCATTCAATCAGTCTGCAAACACTGTCCTCTAGGCCTGACCCAGTGTGAGGAAGTTTGGAAGCACACAAGAAGTCCAACCTCATTCTTGTCCGTGGTGGTGGGGGAAGGATGCTGAAAAAACAAAGATTAGAGCCCTTCTAAGGGTACAAAGACCCTGGGGCTACCTCAGACTTAACCTGTGACCTTGTGCCATACAATGATAATTTAAATGTTTCTTAGTCACCTGTCAACTCTTACCCATTGTTCTGGATGCTGAGGGTGCACCAATGAAACAGATAGCCACTGTCCCTGCCCTCATGAGGCAGACAGTATAGTGTGACGGTAAGCAAACTTTTCTGTAAAGGGCCAAACAGGAATTTTTTGAGGCTTCATAGATTTTCTCACAACTATTTACCTCTGCTATTGTAGCAATGATTGCAGCCATAGGCATTATGTAAATTAATAAACACAACCATGTTCCAATAAAACTTTATTTACAAAAACAGATTTGGCTAGTGGACTGTAGTTTTCTGGTTCCTGGTCAAGTGAATAACAGAACTGATAAGAAAGCCACAGTTAATATAACATTTGGATCAATGAATGAAGGTACTTGAAGAAACAAAGAAACACTGAAGCATTTATCACCCATTATGTGCCATATTGTGATAGGAGGTCAGACTTGACTATAGATGGATATGATGATGAGGCATGGGGAGGTGACTCCAGAATTTGTTGGGGGGGGTAATGATGATGCCAACCATTGAGGTGGTGGTGCACAGGAAGAAGAGTAGGTTTGGAGAGGATAGCAGCTGATGGATTTAGCTGAGACATGCTAAACTGGAGGTGATCTGGGGACACCCTAATAGAGATCACTCACTCAGAGGCATACTGTCAAATATCTCAGAGAAAATCATTAAATTTGCTCTTGGCTTTGAAATATGAGATGAAATTGCTATTCCAATAACTAAGGTATAATATCTTTTTTCTTCCTTTCTCTTCCTTTTCCTCCTCCTCCTGTCTCTTCTTTGTTGCATGTTTTTCTTTTCTGAGATGGAGTTTTACCATGTTGCTCAGGCTGTTTCAAATTCAGAATTTTCCTGTTTCAGTCTCCCAAGTAGATGGGATTATCAGCATGTACCATGGCAATCAGCTTGTATCACTCTTTTTAAGAAGACTAGAGTGCAAATTTTGTGTTTTCTTAATTCAAATATTTATTGTTTTAAAGATAGTCAGCCATAACTTGCTGGTTAGTTATAAAACCAGCAGTTAAAAAATAAACATTTTTTTGTACCAGGGATCAAATCCACAACCTTGCACTTGCCAGGCACCAGGCAGGTGCTTTTGCTGCTGAGCTAAACCCCCATTCCAAAATAAACATTTTTGACTAAAAAAATACTGCCCTTAAGGCTACTATCATAAATGAGCTCCCCCAGGGAGAGAAAGAAAAGGTTAGGGGAGAAAAGGAGAGGAGGAGAGGGAGAGAAGAAAAGGAGAGATGAGGGGAGGGCCAACAGGAGACTGTGAAGCACTGGCTGGAGGGAGAGTGGGGAAGAAAGTGGAGAGCATTTGAGTCCCATTCTCTCTCTGGCTCTCCTCGGTTCCTTCTATGAACGTCAAGGAGATGTGGCTCAATGAGCTCCAATATCCATCTTGTTCTGTGGGCATAGCATCTCTTGACACGAGATGACAGTAACCAAGTCTGGGACAGGTGGGGAGAGGAACACTCCAGGCTAAAGGAGCCAGGTGAGAGAAAAGAAAAACACAAGGAGTGTTTTGGAAATCATGAGTAGTTTGTCTGTTGTGGCCCAGGCCTAGAATGCTGGAGGTGGGATAGAGGAAGTAGGTAATGATATATAAGATTAAAGGGACAATGAGTATGGTCAGGTGTATTTGAATCCTGTGTCAATTCTACAGCTGTGTGACCTGAGAGAAGGCACTGAACAGAGAGCCTCCTTTTCCTCATCTGAACAATCAGGGGTCCTCTCCACTGCAGAGGAGATGGAAGAAGAGCCTTTTAGGCAGTGGAGTTGGTAAGTCTTCAGCCCCTGGCTGGGTTTCTAGAAAAATTCCACAGGTGGGGATTGCCAGGAATCCCCAGGTGGCAGCCAGAGCTGACCAAGGAGTCACTCCCAGGGACTCTAGCCCCTTGCTTTCATCTCCACCAATGACAGTGACTCTTTTAGAGCTTTCAATGATAACAAACAGCCTGCTGTGGCACATATGCCACAGCATCACTGCTCTATAGCAACTAAGATTTCAGGTCAATGGAATGGAGCTAATAGAAAAGATACTCTGGGCGGAGCCCTCCAGATAAGCTTGGTAGAGGTACCTATGAGGCAGTTCTCTTCCAGCTCTTTCCAGTTGCTGTCTGGCTGGCTCAGGCAAGCTCAGAGAGACAGGAAAGCAAGAAATGACTGTGCAAGTCCTGGGTAGTTACTGTGGACCTGACCTAAGGCTTCTCCCAAAATCCTTATCTCACAGATGAGAAAATGGCCAAGCACCCAGGCAGCAACAAACCACGGTCAGAACTAGGCCCACCTGACTCCTAAACCCACACTTGCCCCTGCCATGCTAGCAACTGTACCAATGGGCTGTGAAAAATGCTCCATCTGTGGCTATGTGTCTGGAGAGGCTTCTGTTGGCTTTTTCTGCTCAAGATGGCCTACGTGCCCTTTCAGCCCTCCCTCTCCTTCCCTTCATTTGCCTTGTCCTTCCCTGGCATGTGTTCTCTCCAACCAGCCCTGAAGCTGGTGGCTGTTCTTTCCCCTGGGGACCCAGACAAATGACATTGGAATAATTGAAATGTCCTTTCTGTGACCTTGAGCTTTGGCAAGGCTGACTTCCTTTGTGGTGATCAGTGCTGATGACAGCTGAGTGGCAAGAGGACACACACACAGAGGCACAGATAAGCCACATCAGAGGGGGCATGGCCAGGATACCCCAGCTGCCTGCTAAAACAGCTGCCTCCCCTCCTCAGGCAGACAGCTGGGAATACCCCTGTCAAGTGACAGGGCTCTGCCCCGTCCTACCTCCCCTTGAGCCAGCCAGAAACACCCTGCTAACTGATGGAGCAGTGTCACTTCCTGCATCTTCAGATGGGTCCTCTGGTCACCCTTTCCACAGTCACCTCCTCCTGCCTCTGTCATCACCAAGGGACACAATATTGGCAAATTGTACGTAGAACTGCCAGGCACACAGGGTCTCCTGGAGCCCAGGGAGGCTGCAAATATAAGATACTTGCTTCTCCGGGGCTTGGGCTCTGAGGAATGGCTATACCACCAGGCCCCCACATCAGGCCCTCACTGTGTGCAAAGTAAAGGCATGGAGGGCTGCCTTTTTCAAGTCAGGCTGCTTTCAGAGCGAGCGAGCGAGAGAGAGAGAGAGAGAGGGAGAGAGAGAGAGAGAGAGAGAAAGAGAGAGAGAGAGAGAGAGAGAGAGAGAGAGAGAGAGAAAGCTGCTGGTTCTCAGCCCTCTCTCCATGTGAGCTCTGATGCCAGTTCTGATCCAGGCTCTGAGCTGGGCACTGAAATAGCAAACAGGAATTGGCATGAAACCTGTGGTCTGGTTGGTAAGACCAGTGAGAATTTAGGTTCAACTGCAGGAATTCCTATTTTGTCTGGACAGCAAGGTGATATTTTGGCCCACTGCAGCCTTGTCAAAGCTGGAGAACTTTATCCAGTGATGGGTGCCTGGCTCTGTGAAAACAGCCAGACCAAAAGGGGCCACTTGCCTCAAGAAGAGTAAATTCAGGATTCAGAGCTGAATAAATTCTGGATTCAGATCTTGGGAAGTTTGTTACGTCACAGATGCCTCATGTGACCACAGCAGACAGAGCTAGATAGGACCCACAGAAAGCCACAGGAAGGCCACTTGAGATGAAACTTCTAACTAACAGCTCTGCTGAGATAAATCAGGAGGCCCTTGGACATGTACAAGCAGATCACTAGGCAGGAAGCTGCAGAGAGAACTCAGGCACCTGAGGGGGGCTGGGATTAGACAGCCCTTGAAGGTACTTCCAACCCCAAGATTCCATGACTCTAGCATTGGCATTCACCTCTCCAGGCTGCAGATGAGGAAATTGAGGCCCAGAGAGTGACAAGGACATTCTGGAGGTCATACAAAGTGTTGGTACTCTGAGGACTAGATTTGGAACTCTGCCTTCCCTGTCTTAGATCTTCCCTCTCCTCAGGCTATCTTGGCCAGAACAAACCTCCTCAGCTGTAGGCAGTGTGTGCAGAAGCTCCCCTCTCCAGCCTTCATCCTGGGTGGTCTGACACTCCATGGTCTTTTCCAGTCCCAGCCCAGGCCCAGCTGATGGATGAGCTCCTTGTTGCCCTGTTCTGGCTCGGGCTCCACAGATGGATGCTCTCCGGCATGCCGGCTGAAAGGAGATACACATTTGACCCAGAGCCAGATGTGGAGCAGAGGGAAGTCAGGAAATGAGAGATCTAGGGCCTGGAGAGGGCTGCAGAGCATGGGGCTCTGGGGCACAGCACACCTCACAAACCCCTCAAGGTCCAGCACATAGTAGGTGTTTAATAGATCATGCAGAAAGCGGGAGGGAGCCAGGCTCCTTTGGAGCAGGAGCAGTGGGAACACCAGAGAGTGAGCTCAGGGCCTCACCACCCCCTGCAGGCGCCAGATGTAGGTGTTTGGAGATCTTTCTCATTCCTTGGGTTTCCCTTAGACCTCATTCTGGGGCCCTGCTCTCAATCCAGCCATTCTTCAGAGAAGAAAGTCCCTGAGTCCTGCCCCTTCCCTCTGCCCTCACTCTGTCACACTCATAGGACTTCTGTCCTACCCACAAGAATGGCCAGGCAACTTGCTCGCGTGGGAAATGACCTCTGCAGAAGAGGTTCTTTTCGTGACCACTAAGAATGCTACAAAAGGGGCCAAGAGTGGAGCTCAGTGCTACAGCACCTGCCTAACACGAACAAGACCCCAGGTTTAATCCCTAATATTACAAAACACACACACACACACACACACACACACACACACACACACACAGAGAGACAGAGACAGAGACAGACAGAGAGAGAGAGAGAGAGAGAGAGAGACAGAGAGAGAGAGAGAGAGAATATCACAGAAGATAATATTGTATCCATGTACGCAAGCACCCCTTCACAGGTAACAAATGATCAAATGGTAGGTTCAAAGGGCAGAGAAGGCTGTCCCAGTGTGACTGAGTCACAGGACTGGAACAGTGCCCTCCAGTCTTCCAGCATATCAATTATTTTCACAACATCTCCTCCACGTGTTTTGGTGACAAACTGCTTTCTGTTGTCTCACAGGTCCTTTCCAATTACAAATGAGTTAAGCATTATTATCTTCATTTTAAGAAAAAGGAAACCAAAGCCAAGAGATGCTCAGTGACTTCCTTGCTTCCTCTCCTCAAAAGTCAAGAATGTAAGTCAAGTATGGTGGTGCATGCCTATAACCCTAATATCTTAGGAGGCTGAAGCAGAAAGATCTCAAGTTTAAGCCTAGCCTGGGAGAATTAGTGAGACTTTGTCTCAAAATAAAAACTTTAAAAAATAGCAGGGATGTAGCTCATTATGAAGGTTCTGAGTTCAAATCTCACTACTGCAAAAATGTAAAAAATACAAAAAACGAAAGCTCTAGAATGTAACATGTTCATTGGGAGAGGGTAACTACAGATGATGACTAGACTTAGGAAAGTATCCCTGGTGGTGAAGAATTCCCAGATCCATAAAGGACAAATGTGGAGCAGTCATTCCAATACATTGCTGAGTGGACAAGCTGCCACCCAAAGAATTAACAACTGTGTGTTCATGTGTTTGCTCATGTGTGCATGTGGGGGAGGGCTTTACTCTAAAAAATTCTGCTTCCGTGGCCATGAGGTAGGCCTAGAAACACTATTTTCATCAGAATCTCAGGAGATTCCTACAGGCAGCCAGGTTTGAAGGCAGCTGGCTAAGGGAATTCACTAAATTTCCCTGATTGAGTCTTGGTTAGTCTACACCACTGGTCCAAAACGCTGCATATCTGACTCACCTGGAGGAGATTTTTAAAATACTGATAATTGGGCCCTACCTCCAGAGATTAAATTGGTCTGGTAGTTCAGTCTAGGCACTGGTATCTTTGAAAAGCACTCCAGACAATTCTAATGTGTAGCTGGGGTTCAGAGTACTAATCTAAGTCAGTCATAATAATTATAACTTCTTTGCCACATGATTGGATTCAGCTTGGCAGGAGACACAGTTCTGTGTTGTTCTGGGGAAGGCTGCTTTGTTCTTAAAAAGCAACACAAAGCAAATTTGTTACTTCTTTCAGTCTTTCAATTTTGTTGAGTTATAGTGTGATACTTGGAGCTGTTGCAGCTATCTTATGACAGTGAGGGGACAGGTCTGAGAACAAAAGTCAAGAGTTGTGAATGGTAGAATAGAAAGATGGAAGGAACTGGAGTCCTTGATGTTGAATAAACCAATTATTAAAACACCCTTCTTTAGGATTTCTTCTATTGGAATAAACAATGTGCTTATTGTTGAAGCCCTTTTGAGTTTAAGATTTCTGTTACTTGCTGTCAAATGCTATTATTTGATGGAAGAAGAAATCAAAGCTCAGATTATAAACCAAGATGACACACCTAGTTAGTAGCAGGCTATACCCTTTATCACCATCACACACACACACACACACACACACACACACACACACACACACATACACACACAGTCACTCCAGCCCTAAATCCCTAGGTGATATAGTGTAGTGCAAAAATTTTTGAGTGGCAAGAGTCCTGAGGTGGAAAGATGGGGATATGGGGATAGAGGCCACTTAGTGGTGATTATCAGGTCAAGCAGCCTATGGGTGTTCCCTGCCTCCCAGCAGGGGAGCAACAGCTGGGACCTACTCTGGCTCCACCAGCCATTAATTAAAATTTGACAAGAAGATGAATGCACAGGGGAAGCTTTTATTAGAGACTCCTGGAATGCTGGTGCTGGCATGGTCCTAACAGACCATGCCCACCAGTCTTCTTGTTATATAAGTGGGGAAACTGAGGCCTAGGGACAGACAAGGTTTGGACTAAAATTCTTCAAGCGAGCCTGTAGCTTAGGAATCAAGGTGTCCATGTGACTCCCTGGCCAAGTCTCTTTTCTCTGCCCTGAGATCTCTCACATATGGGACAGCTTTAATTAATTTGTTATCCCATTCAGCCTGTCACTGATTTCCAGGCCCTCAACAAAGGCCTACAACTAAAGCTCCTTTTTGGGGAACCACTGCCTGGCTCCAGGGGGCTTATGGGATAAGAGCAAAGACTGGGGAGCCAAGGGCAGCTGAGTTTGACCACCACCTTCCCAGGATCCAAGCTAGACAGGAATATGAGACTGGGAACATGCAGCTCCAGACATCCTGCCTGTTACAGCTATATCTAAATGTCCCCCCAAAGCTTCATGTGGTCATTGGCATTTTTCAGAGGTGGCCGGATTTAGAGTGTGTGACCCTGGGATTGATTTATGATGCAATGTGAGGCTCAAGGACTAGAATTAAGACTGCGAGTGCCAACTGCCCTAAGTAGCTTGGATAAGATAAAAGGGGCAGAAAGACACTGTTAAAGACCCTTGTTGCTTTTGCTACCTTGTGGGCACCATGAACTGTTCTCTGCAATGCCCCTCTGCCAAACAACCCTGCCTTGGAACCAGTTGATTGTGGACTGAAACCTCTACAAACTGTGAGCCAAATAAACTTTTCCTGCTTTAATATGTAGTTGTTAAGTACTTTGTCTCAGCAACATGAAAAGTAATTAAGACACTGCCTTTGCCTTTTTCATGGGAAAGAGTGGGAATATCACTCATTAGTGATCCCAACCCCTCAATTTCCAAAGTATGATCTGAGATCTCAACTGTGATTTCCATCCACCCCAATACGACCCAAATAGCAGGGGTCTATTCTGATGAAAAAATACTTCTCTTTTTCTTTAAACTAAGCCTGGTTCCTTGTGAGAAAATTCACATAATGTCTCAATGCACAGGGCCAAAATGAAGTTCTCATCCTCTCTCCCTCTGGAGCTGCAGCCACCCATAGTTAACTGTTTGCTGTCAAGCCTGTGAGACTCCTCCTCCCAAGCACACTTGAGCCTGTGGCATTTGTCCTGTGGTCACCATTTATCTCCCTTCTGAAGGAGCTTCAGGACACCAAGGGAGTAGGAGGGAAAAGGTCAGCACAGGATCCTCCACTCTGCAGCTTGTTTCAGGCAGCCAGTCAATTAGGGTCTGTAGCTCATTGGTTGGTTGCCTGACACCAATTAGAAAAATATGTCCCGCCAGGCAGACAATATAGTGTCCTGTACTCTTCCCTTGGGGCAGCATGAGGAGCCTGAGCAGCCTTCCTTAACATTCAAAGGGTCTCCCTTCTCAGTCCCTGTGTCCCACTTGTCCACAGTGCTGTCACTGCTTCAGCCAGGCTCCACCACCCCACCTTGGGAGTCCAGCTGCCCCAGCCTTCTCACCAGTCTCCCTGCTCTTTGTGTGTCCCTCTGACACTCCTCCCTGCTGCTAGATGGATTGTTGTTTTAGGCAAAGTAGATTCTATCCCTCCTGTGCCAAGCCCTTTAACTACTTCCTCTTGCTTGCTGTCAAGGCCATGCTCAGTGAGGTTTTAAGGACTTTTACCTGTCCGCATGGGCTCCACCTCAGTAGATTTGGGCATGAATCCTGGTCTGCCACTTATCAGTTGTGTGCCCTTAAGCAATCCAGTTAGTCTCCCCACCTCTAAATTTCCTTATTGAAAAAATGTGGATGATGATAATAATAACAGTATCTACCTACTGGATTGTAGTGAGGAGTAAATGAGGCAATTCAGGTCAAAGAACTAAGGCCCCTGGCAGGCAGGAGAGCACTTGAAGGAAGAACATTTAGGGGCTCCTTGGGAGCTCCTGAGTCTCCATTCACTCTTCTGCAAAATGAGGGCTCAGATAACTCCACAGCAGGCCACAGCTAAAGAAGAGTGCATAGAAAATCTTGCCCAATTCCTGGAGTATCTTAACTACTTGATAAACCTTAGAGAAGGAAGAAAAGGGGAGAGAGCTCCTGCTTGCCCACCTCCCAGGTGGGTAACACTTCCCAGGTCCTATAGAACTACTGCTGGCTTTTTGTTGGAGCCAGAGTGGGACAAGATGAGGGAAAAGTGGGGCGTGGCTACAATCTGATGCACACTGGGTGTGGGAAGGAGGCTGGTTAGGCCTCACTCTGACACTCCATCTCCTTACCTATAAGGTGAAGATAATATTAGTACATCATAAGACTATTGTGAAGCTGAAATAACATCACATATGTACAACCCATTACACAGAATGTGGCACTTACAGTTCTTCATCTGCAGTAAAAGCAATTTAGAATTGTGGGTTAGGTCACTGACTTTAGACTACAACTGATCTAGGTCATATCCGGATTCTCCTCTCAACAAGCCCACTTAAGTCCAGTCACTCAACATTGCTTAGTCTTAGTTTCTTCCTCTATAAAATGGAGATCATAATCCTCCTACTTCACAGGATTTGGTTAGAAATTCAGCCCATGTGAATAGTCAATACATATTTTTAAAGATAATATTATTCCTTGAGGAGAGAGCCTAGGTTTTAAACTTCCAAATTTTTTCTCTCAATCCCACTGCTTAGATCAGATGGTATATACAGCTGGCACCCAACAAACCTTTCTCAATGAAGAAATCCTTAGTTCTCAGCAACTTTACAACATTATGGACAATCAGTCCCAGAGGGACTGTTGAAGCTCATTTATTTCAACCATCCTATTATACAGATGGAAAAATCAAGACTGAGAACATGGAAGGCACAGTGAAAGTTAGCAACCATGCCTACCCGGTAGCCCCTTCCTGGAGCTGCTTCAAAATGCAAGTGATTTCTCCCAAGACAGGGACACCTGCTATGGCTTTCCCAGAATCTCCACAGCCTCGAACATGTCCCTCCTGCCTCCCTGGACTTGTCTCAGGCTGTACCTAGCTAGCTGCCCAGTGTGGCCCACCCTGCCTCTGCACTCCCCCTCCCCACTGCTCAGCAGCCTAGGCCGGGTGGTCTGTAATTGCTTCCTGTCCTCACAGGCTCTGTTTGTTTGCTCTGTGGCTGCTTCCTCACACCCCAGCACACCGGAGGTGCTGACCAGCAGCAAGGGACTACTCTCAGATGTTGGGCCAGCCCTCCCCAGACCCACCACCTGGAGTCCAGGAACCCAGAAAGACCCTAGAGACAACCCTCTTCAGTGATTCCATTTCCCTAGCTTCCGCTTCCCTCGCCACCCCCCCCCCAATCCACCCCAGCAGCTGGTCTTGTCCGAAGCTGAGAGAAAAGCCAAAAAATCAACAGGTGGCAGTCCACAGTGAAGCCCTAGTAGGCCTTGGACTTAAGGGGACGTGAAGGATCCCTCCCCAGCCCACTCCTTTTCCCGGCCACAGCCCAGTCAAACCTAGGCAGAAAGCCCAAATGATAAGGCTTCATGCCAGGACTTTGAAACTTTTGAGGCTGAAACGTATGAGTAGAAGGGAGGGAGTTACTAAGTTCTTTCCTGAAGATCTCTGAGACAAGGATGAAAACTCAATGCAGTGAAACAAAAGACCTGGGGTTCCAATCAGCCACTCATGATAGAATATTAAAGCAAGCGTTTTATGGTTTCATGGCTTCCATTTTCTTATCTGTAAAACGGCTGGCACATTAACACCCATCTTAGAGTTGCCTTGAGGTTAAAATGAGCCCTCAGCACACACTAACTATAGGTCGGCTGGGTGAGATAGATCAGGTGACCAGCCCACCAACCTGGTTTGCCTGGGCCTAAGGACTTTCTCAGAATGTGGGAATTTCAATGCCCACACCTGAACAGTCTCAAGAAAACTGAGGTGAATTTGTCACATTAAGAATTGGTGTCATGCCAGGTGTGATACCATAGGCCTGTAAGCCCAGATACTGGGAAGACAGAGGGAGGAGGATCACAAGTTCAAGGTTAGCCTCCTCAAAACAAAAAATAAAATGGGAAGTAGCTCAGTGTGAAGGCCTAGGATTCAATCTCTATTATGGCAGAAGAAAAAACCCAAGTAAATAAAAGAGTTTGAGTCAGATGTTAGATGCATGTTGTTCCTGGAAGACGGTGCCACAGCCAACCCCTAAGACTCTCTTGAATCTCCACTTAACTTCATAGCCCATATTCCTATAAGATAGGGAATGGACACTGCTCTCTCCTTGGAGCCCCTGGCCTCGGGCTTACACTGCCCCTCCTCAGCCCCAGAGGAAAGCGCTGTCAGCAGAATTCCTCATGTCCTGCTGCTGGGGCCATGTTTATCCAGCCCAGCAAACCTCCTCAGAAGCGCCTTGCAGCAGCCTCGGCAACACACTTGAAGCAGGAGAAGGATAGCCACTTGACTGGAACCATCCCGTCTCTAGTGCAGAAGACCTGAGGGACAGTCAGAGCTGGTGACAGGGAGGAAAAGGTGTGACCTCAGAGGAGGAGGGTGATGGAGTAGAAGCTAGGAGGGTACCACTTGAGAGA